AATTTTTTTGAACCCTAATTCATATAGATTTGTTAGTGTGATCATCATATCTATCATTTTTTTCCATTTATCTTTTAAATAATATCGAATATTATTATTATTATTATTATTATTATAGGCTTTATCTACTGCGCTAAATATTGCAAATATTTCAAGTCTCGTGGACGTAGTATCGCCGCTGCCGGATGTACGAAAATCCATCGGTTCAAAGTGTCGTACGCTTGGGAAAAAAAAAAAAAAAACATCTGTCTCATGCATGGAACGTCCCGTGACACGACAGTATCTATAAGAAATGATATGATTATATAGTAATTGAGATTTGAATAGCTTACACGTGATGCTACGCGATGTGCTAGAATTATTTTATTCTTTTGTGAGCATTATAAAATTGGATATTGTTTTTGTAATAACTATCGCCATTTTTACTATAATTATATAACTATAATTGATTATTGTTATCTTTATATATATATATACATATATATACATATTTTTTTTTTTTAGCTTTTAGTTGTGATGATCATATCTAACATTATTACTGTTATTACTATTATCATTATCACAGCTATTAGTTAAAAGGTGCTTATGTGGCAGTCATATATAATATATTCTGTTGTTATTACTTTCATTTTTAACACTGTTCTAATTATGATGGTTATCATTATGATTATTATTACTATTGATTTTATTATCGTATTCAGAACACGAGAGAAACAAAAATGGAAAAAATGGGTAAAATATAAACGAAGCAAAATTAAGAATACAATAGGGAAAGACGGAGAGACAAGAACTAATGACAATTATTAAATTTACTTCACCATAATTTTATTATCATCGTCACGCAGTTCTGAAGTGTAACGTCCTACGTGTATATAAAGCTAAGCCGAAAGCCGGCAGTGGACTCCAGAAGACTGAAAATCACTGCTATATTTAAGGATTATGACTATATGACTATGTAGACTTTTATCTTGTCAAGGACGAAGATTGCATTAGCTTATAGTGTGTCTGGTTTCTTTACTATGGATAATTATACTAATGTTACTGCTGTTATGAATTACTGCGTCTATTTTTACTACTACTATTACTGGTACTACGACTTCTGTTACTACTGCCAGTGGCGTAGATAAGAAATTTTATAGGGGGAGGGGGTCGAGAAATGAAGATTTTCCGACAAAAAATTAATAAGCATTTTCGTATCTCCATGATTATTTTCCGACAAGATTAGCAATTTTTCGACAAAATGGCAGTTTAACCCCCCCCTGACCCCCCTCTATCTACGCCACTGCATTTTACTACTATGTCTAGTTATTATTACAACTACAGCTATTACTCTGATTATTCGTTTTGGTTACTATGACTACTGATTTTACTGTCATGATTGCTATCACTACTACTACTAGTATCATCCGTAAGCAGCGGGGTAGGGAAGTGCTTAGAAACACGCATGTTTTTTTGTTTTTTTTAAGAAGTTTTCGCGTAATACGACAGGGCAGTAGAGCATGGAAAAGTTTTTTTTTTCTGAAATAATTTTTTTGGCTAAAGGTGATATTTATTAGTTCAATAGTATGATTTTTTTTCTGCGGTTTTACGATGACTTTTTCTATCAATTTTGCTTGAAAAGATATTGTTACTTGAGCGAAGTTAACTACTACACAATGGAAGTCATTAACTCTAGCATTTTTTGCAAGCATTTGTTTATCATATGTAAATACCTAGTTAATAACTACTATCATAGTTAAACATTACTACTTCAACAAACTTACCGAGAGAGGGAGAAATTTAGATGTAGGTTAAGAGAGAAAAAAAGAGAGAAACGTAAATACATTTTATCAAAATATATGAAGTTTAACGAAATTTGCGAAAGTGAGCTTCACCCAGATAAGAGTTTAGTGTTTTTTTTTTTTTTTTTTTTTTTTTTTTTTTTTTTTTACTCACAGAAAGCAACTTTAATGAAACATGAGGTGGTAATATTACATTTATATACTTGGATAACGTGCATGAAATGGAAGGTAGGTATGAAAAAATATATATATATTCAAGCCCTCTCTCTTAACTTTTCCATCTTTCTGTCGCTACTTTCTCTCTCTCTCTCTCTCTCTCTCTCTCTCTCTCTCTCTCTCTCTCTCTCAAGTTACCTCATCCTTTTGAGATGTAAGCTTTTGTCGCAATAAAGACTATCTCTATCCCTCCCTCCCTCTCACATTCCCCTCCCTCCCTTCTGTCTCTCTCCCTCCCTTCCCCCCTTCTCCCTCCCTCCCCCCTTCTCCCTCCCTCCCTCAATTCCCCTCCCTTCCCCCCTCCCTCCCTTCCCCCCTCTCCCTCCCTCCCTCCCTCCCCCCTTCTCTCCCTCCCTCCCTCCCTTCCCCCCTCTCCCTCCCTTCCCCCTCTACCCCCCTTCCCCCCTCCTCTCCCTCCCTTCCTCCCTCTCCCTCCCTCCTTCCTTATCAGTGCTTTGTATGGTACTATAACAGGAAGATAAGACACGATAGCTCCTCAGCACTAATTGAAGATAAACCCTCAGCGTCTTTGACAGTTCAAGTGGTTTCGAAATCGTGGGATTCCATGAGGCTTCGAAAAGAATTACATCAATTATTGAATTAAGAAAAGAAAAAAGAAAAAAAAAATATATATATATGTATATATATATTTATATATGTATTGTATATTATATATGTATTAAGTTATATCTTCTTGACTTTAGATTATTAAATCATTAAATTGTTAAACTACATTATCAAATTATCAGATTATATCTTCCTGCCTTTTTATTCTTCTATCTACATCGGTTGTATCTTAATATTCTTTTCCATATTATATCGAGAACAATTGTATTATCATATCCTTACTGTATTGTATAGCGATTAAAAAGCCTAGCCTGATAATATATATCTAATTTGTCATATATAGCTTTTAAATCTTTAGCTTTTAAATCTTAATTATTTTTATTTTATAATTTTGTATTTTACATTACTTTTCATTTACATTTTCTTTTACATTATTAATTCATATATTACTTATTATGATTACAAGTATTTTTTTTTAATTACATACCATATCAACTGTATTGTTATATCATTGTGATAATGAATGTAGTGTTAATTATCTTATTGGCCATTTTGGTATGATTATTATTATATTATTAGTACTATCATGAGCATGGTGTTATATATAGGATAGTGTGTGTGTGTGTGTGTGTGTTTATGTGTGTGTGTGTATGTGTGTTTATATGTGTGTGTTCTAACAAATCATACCGATATCTGAACACTATTTAACATGACTTAAATATTAGAAAACAATAGATATTATACTGAAGACTCTCATGGAAAGATCCATCGAGGTACAAAAAAAACTTTTATCTCTGCTTCATCAATTACTCAAAGGCGTTTGATAAAGTAAGGAACTCAGATTTATTTATGTCAGGGTTAAGCATTGATGGGAAGGATCTTAGAGTCCTGAGAAACCTATACTGGGAGCAAGAAACAGCCATCAGAGTCTATAATGACTGCAGCGAATACAGATCAATCCCTAGAGGAGCGAGAAAGGGATGAACAATAAACAAGACAGAACAATTTTACGTAACATTGAAGAACACGAGGGAGTCAGTGTTGGTGGGCACAGCATCAATAATTTTAAGATATGCGGACGACACATATCGCCGACTCTGAAGACAAGTTACAAAGAATCTTGAATACAGTGGCAGAGGAGAGCTAATAGAAAGGACTACAGCTCAACGCAAAGAAGATAGAATGCATGGTGATTTCCAAAAAAGACCGTTATACCAAACTGCAAAATGTCATGCAAGGGAGAGAATATTAGTCAAATGAACAATTTCGAATACCTCGGCTGTACTATCACACCCGATGGCAAAAGCGACTCCGAAATTAAGAAGAGAATTAGCCTATCCAAATGCAAGGATAAGAATAAGTCCGATATGCGAAGCTGAGCCTCATCCGGGCTATGCCACGAGGGGAGCCCGGCCTGTGTCGACTAATGCCGACTCGTTAACGTGTGTCAGTTGTTGACTCGGCTGTGCTTAGTCCTTACCCGCCGTGGTGCCCAGCCACAGCATTAACCTTAAGGCTACAATTGCAACTTCTCGCCGACACTTTACCACTGTACTATCCCGGAGGCTCATGAAGTGCATTTTCACTAACATGAATATAAACCTTAACACGAAAATCCGTACCCTGAGAACGTATGTTTGGGCCACCCTTCTCTATGGTATCGAGTGCTGGACATAGGACACAGAACGTCGGCTGGAAGCAGTAGAGAAGTGGTACATCAGAAGAATTTCGAAGGCCTCATGGACGGAAAGAAAAACTCAACGGTCACAAGAGACCACTTCTCCATACCATCGGAAAGAGACAGCTGAAATACTTGGGGTACATAATACGAGTGAACGGACGGGAAAAACGCTTGCTATTGGGAAAAATAATCGGCAAGCAGGGGGGGGGAAGTGGATCAAATTCATGGACAGCCTCAATAAGAATATAAGCACAAAGAACCACCAATTCGCAATAAATGAACTCATTAGAAAGATAACAACAATAATATTTGATAATTAAGAATGAAATAGTCTGAAAATCTCTCTCACATTAACTTTCTCTGCCCCCCCCCCCCCTCCCTCTCTCTCACTTTCTCTTTCTCTCTCTCTTAATCTCTCTGTCTCTCTCTATATCCATCCATCCATCCATAAATCCATTCATCCATCCCTATATGCATATATCACTATATCTATTGTTCCAAAACCACAGGCAACAACACCACCAGGCATCATGGCGGAACTGGGGATGTCAACAGGTGATCTCACTTTTACTCTCTCCCTCTTCCTCCCCCTCCCTCCCTTTCTTCCTCCCCCCATCTCACTCTCCCTTTCCCTCTCCCCCTCACTTCCTCCCTCTCTCTCTGTTTCTCTCTATCCCTCCATCTCTATTCATCTATCCATCTATCCATATATACATCTATCTATATATATCTCTTTTTATCTCTTCATCACAGGCTACAACACCACCAGGCATCATGGCGGAACTGGGGATGTCAACAGGCGAACTCGTAAACAACGCGAAACCTGCTCGGGCTGCGCAATACATCGCTGCTCTATCAGGTAAGGGTGATAATGATGATTAGTATGATGGTGAGAGTGGTTATAGTGAGAGTAATGATGATGGTAATGATGGCAGTAATTAGGATGTTGAAAATAAGGATACCAATAATAATGATAAAGTTATAATGATAGTGATAATAATAACTAAACATTAATAATAATTCTGATATTGGTAATATTAATAATACTATCAAGAGTAATAATAATAATAATAACACTAATAGTGCTGTAGATTTTAAAAAGCGAAGACTCTTCCCTCAACATTCCGACACCAGCGCCCAAACCTCCGCCTCTTCTCCCAAACAGCAACGATGGGAGCCCTCTGCTTCGGCACAGCACTCGGTTACTCCTCCCCGGCGGGCATCTTACTGACCAGCAACTCCACCGACAACTCCACTCTGCAGCTGAGCACCGTCGAAAACAGCTGGTTCTCCTCGTCAGTCAACCTCGGGGCACTCGTAGGAGGTCCCATCGGCGGCCTCTGCATCAACGCCATCGGCCGGAGGGGAACCATGCTCGCCCTCTTCCCGTTTTTCTTCGGGTCGTGGGTGATCATCGGTGAGGGGGGGACTCGTGTGTTTGTTTGTTGGGTGCGGTTGGTGGTACTTATTTTGTATTCATTTTGTGATGTTTGTGCTATTTTTTTTTTCCTATTATCCATTTTTTAATTTCTTTTATTTTTCTTTGGGTCCTGGGTGATCATCGGTGAGGGCTCGTGTGTTTGTTTGTGGGGTGCGGTCTGTGGTACTTATTTTTGTATTCATTTTATGTTTTGTTTTATTTTTTATTTTTTTTCTTCCTATTATTATTTTTTTTTTCTTTGGGTCCTGGGCGATCTCGTGACTCGTGAATTTGTTAGTGGGGTGCGATCGATGGTTCTTATTTCTGTATAATTTTGTTTTATTTATTTATTCATTTATTTATTTATTTATTACCATCGGGTGTCTCGTGTGTGATGTTAGTGATGGGACTGGTGGGATTATTTTTTATCAATTTTTGTCTGTTACATTTTGAGGGGAGGGGAGCATCAGTAAAGGGGGTGTCTTGTCTATGCTCTAAATGCCATGTGATTTATGCGATTTTTTAATTTATTTGTGCGCATGTGTTGATTCTATTCTATGTATATATATGTATACTTTTTCTTAGTCACTTTTTTTTGTTCTTTTTAGGGGGGGGTTCAATAAAGTTGGTCTTGCTTATGTTGTTAATGTCAAATTATGAATGGTACTAATGCATTTATTCATATCTTTTATATCTACCTTACACTTCAACTAGATTTCTAAACAGCACAGATTTGATTATTATTTACACATATCCAATTGTAGAAAAAAAAAAAAATCTATTATTTTCCCCAGCTCTTGGTCAAAACTTCGCCATGCTTTTGGTGGGTCGCATCATCGCTGGATTGTGCACAGGGATAGTGTGCATTGCAGCTCCCACTTACATCGGGGAATTTGCCTCTGCTGATATCAGGGGAACGTTAGGTAGGCCTACGTGAAGTTTTGTATTTAAAGTTGATTTGAAAATCTCATTTTTCTTTTCTTTGTGTTGTGTTTATCTCAGAGTCTGTTACTATTTCTATCTGTCTCTGTCTCTGTCTCTCTCTCTCTCTCTCTCTCTCTCCTTTCTTTTTTCCTGCCTCCCCTCTCTCTCTTTCTCTCGGATGAAACGAAAACGTCTCTTTATTGATCAACATCCACATGAACATAAACATTACACAAACGGTTATCTAAGTGTAGGCGATTTTTTTCTTTTTTTTAATTCATATCCAATTTCCCCAACTACAGGCGCAGGATTCCAGCTGATGGCGGGGGTTGGCATTCTCTACGCATACATCTTCGGTGCCTTTATAGACAGCTGGCAAATATTGGCAGTTGTATGCGCTGTCCCGACGATCATTTTCTGCGTGTTAATGGTCTTTTCCAAGGAGTCCCCGAGTTACCTGCTTTCTAAAGGGAAGGATAAGGAGGCCCAGGAGTCTATGCGATACTTCAGAGGTAATTAATGATTAGAAACAACAACGTGTAAGAGAAATATAGATGGAAATGCAAATGAGCGATGGATTTTGTGACACAATATATCCTTAAATTGTGATTCTCGTACTCATGTGCACACGGTCTCAAGAAAGAGTGAACTGGCAACTCTTTCTGGACTTTGGAACACTCCGATTCACCAATCTTTTTTTTTAATCTACTCAACTGACACTAGTGTTTACATGTCATGCATATCAGGCTTTATATGGAATATTTCTTTTATTCATTAAGTTTGGATTTGTTCACCATAACTACCATTTTTTCTGAAAAGAGAGTTAGCGAATCGAAGCCTTCCAGAGTCTGGAATGAGTTGCCAGATTTTCTTTTCTGTGACTCGATGAAGTAAAGTCGCCCTAAAGATGCAAATTCTCTTTCTCTCTCCCAGGATCTGACTACAACATCGAGCCGGAGATGCAGATGCTGAAACAGAGCCTCGATGACTCCAAAGCAAACAAGGCTTCTTTCTCAGACCTCAAGCAATCGTATATATTGAAGCCTCTCCTTATTTCCCTTGCACTGATGTTATTCCAGCAGCTTTCGGGCGTCAACGCTGTTCTCTTTAACTTGAAGGCTATCTTTCAGGTAAGGGGTGAGCGGTTGTCTCTGTTTTTTTTTTTTTTTTATCTTATTCTCTTTTTCAACCTTTTTTTTTTTGTTTGCCTCTCTCTCATTTTCTCTTTTTACTTTCCTCTCTGTAAGTCTCTTTCATTCCCTCTGTCTACTTTCTCTCTCTTTTTATTATTATGGGATGAGCGGTTGTCTGTGTTCTCTCTATTTTTTTTTTTTTTTTATCTTATTCTCTCTTTCAACCTTTCTTTCTGTTTGCCTCTCTCTCATTTTCTCTTTTTACCTTTCTCTCTGTTAGTCTCTCTCCTTCCCTCTTTCTACTTTCTCTCTTTATCTCTCTTTTTGTTATTATAAGGGGTGAGCGGTTGTCTGTGTTCTGTTTTTTTTTTTTTTTTATCTTATTCTCTCTTTCAACCTTTCTTTCTTTTTACCTTCCTCTCTGTCAGTCTCTCTCATTCCCTCTTTCTACGTTCTCTCTCTCTCTCTCTCTCTTTCTCCTTTCTCCCCCCCACCCTCTCTCTCTCTCTCTCTCTCTCTCTCTCTCTCTCTCTCTCTCTCTCTCTCGCTCTCTCTCTGCATACATGTAGACACATACATATTCATATATATACATTATAACCATTTCCCATATCGAACAATCACAAAACACACAAAATACTCTCCTTCAACTTTTCATTATCTCTTCCACCGCAGGAGTCAGGGACAGACCTCTCCGATGACGTCAGCTCCATCATCGTCGGCGTAGTTCAGATTCTGGCCACTGTTGTCGCTAGTGTGCTTATGGACAGAGCCGGCAGGAAATTTCTTCTGCTCTCATCTTCGGGAGCCATGACAGTTGCTCTCGGTATGTGTGTTGAATATGATATTTATTTATTTATTGTTGTTGTTGTTATTATTATTATTATTATTATTATTATTATTATTATTACTATTGCTATTACTATTATTATTATTATTATTATTACTATTGCTATTACTATTTTTATTATTATTATTATTATTATTATTATTGTTATCATTGATATCTGATTCACACAAGAGAAATCTATATTAGACCTTTTTTAAGGCCTACGTCAGCAATAGAGTGCCTCTCCCCCTTCCTTAAAATCCTTTAAAAGTCTCTTAAATTGCGACACATACTTCCCCGAATATTTTTTTTTTTTTTTTTAATTCTAACTCATATTATCCTCTAAAAAACATAATTTTCTAAACTGCCGATTCAAATTTCCCGCCACAATATCTCGTTTTTTTTTTTTTCAACTCCACAAATACTCGTATTTTTTCTACATTCCCCAAATCACATCTCAAATAAAAATCCCAACATCCTCTAAAATTCCCACACCCCATTTTCCCGCCAAAAAATCGGAAAATAATTAAACTATCATAATAGACAAATAACAACAACAAAAATAAACAGACAAACAAATATTTGGATAAAAATGCCAAATCTCCATCAACAGTGGGTCTTGGAGTCTTCTTCTACTTGAAAGACAATGGTGACGTCAGCGCCCTAGGATGGCTTCCTATCACGTCATTAATGGTGTTCATTGCGGCTTTCAGTTTCGGCTTCGGACCTATCCCGTGGCTTATGATGAGTAAGTGTAGCGGAGAATAAAAGTGTATGAATAAATTAAGTCCTGTGCATGAGTAAGTATAGTTAAATGTATGAGTAAATGTAATCCTGTGCATAAGTATAGTTAAATGTACGAGTAAATATAATCCTGTGCATGAGTAAGTAAAGTTAGATGTATGAGTAAATTTCATCCAGCGTATGAGTAAGTATAGTTAATACATGAGAAAAAATATCCAGCGTATGAGTAAGTATAGTTAAATGTATAAGTAAATGTAACTCTGTGCATGAGTAAGTATAGTTGAGTGTATGAGCAAATTTTATCTAGCGTATGAGTAAGTATAGTTAAATGTTTGAATAAATGTAACCCTGTGCATGAGTAAGTATAGTTAAATGTATGAGTAATTTTTATCCAGCATATGAGTAAGTATAGCCGAATGAATAAGTAAATGTAATCGAATGTAAATATACAAGTAAGAGTGTCAAAAGGTAATAAGTGTACGAAAAAGAGATCTTGAGTAGGCCTACAGAGTAATTGTCTCAAATATGGTAATTTTACGATGAAGTAGAATCAATATTAAGAAACCCATGAGTAAGGGGGTCTCATGGATAATGAATACATAGCTAAGTGTAATCCAGTGTAAAAAGAATATGAATGTAGGGTGTTGCGCGTGTGTGTGCCACCCATAGGCCTGTGTTATTCTCAGTGCCTTATTTGATATCAGTTTCTGGCACTGTAGGTAAGCCTTAAATGTTACTACACATTGCACATTTCAATTTTCTGTTAACTTATAGGTCTTATGAGCACATTCCTTCTTACATACAATGTAGGTACTTTTATCATGTATAATATGAATATTTTCATATACACAAGATGAATACATTCTTATATGCAATATGTGTCAATTTTTAAAACAATATTCAGACGTTCTTATGTTTAAATATAAATATATTTTATCGTATAATGTGAACACATTCTTTTGTATGATACAAATATATCCCTATATATAATACAAATATATCCCTATATATAATACAAATATATCCCTATACATAATAAAAATATATCCCTATGCCTAATACAAATATATATAATACAAATACATTCTAACAAAATACGACTCCAGTCTTAGGCACAATACAAACACATCCTTATCTGCAACACGAAATGCATTCCATTAGCCATTAAAAATATAATAACACGTTACTCACTCGACTTCTCACTTCCAGGCGAACTTTTCACACCCAACGTCCGTGAAGCTGCCAGTGGTCTAAGTACAATGACAAACTGGGGAATGTCTTTCATTGTCACGTATTTCTTCGAGAGTATGCGGGTGAGTATTCCGTTTTCTTTGGTTTATTTTCTGTTAGGGTGATATTTTTTTTAATGTGTTGGTACTGTTGTTGGTGTGTGAGTGAGTGTGTGTGTGTGTGTGTGTGTGTGTGTGTGTGTGTGTGTGTGTGTGTGTGTGTGTGTGTGTGTGTGTGTGTGTGTGTGTGTGTGTGTGTGTGCGTGTGTGGTGCTATTGTTCTTGTTTCTTTTTTATAGTATTAATGCTACTCTTTTTTTTCTTGCTGTTATTTTTTTTTTCTTTGAGGGTTCCGGTTTTCTTTGATATGTTTTTGTTAGTGTTGTTGCTGTTTTTTTTAATACTATTATAGGTGTTCTTGTTCTTGCTGTTATTATCGTGCATGCTATTGTTATTGTTGCTATCATTATTATCATTATTGTTAATCTTGTTATCATAGTTGTTCTTGGCGTTGCTCTTATTATTTTTATTGACCTTATTGTATCTGACCTTTTTTCTGTAAGCGTAATCAGCCCTTTCTGGCTTAATACACTCTTTTACATTCACATTTTCACACGGCTTGCCATCCTTAAAGACAATTATTTTTCTTGTCATCTATCTTCTAACAATAATAATAACTAGCCTTCGTATTGACAGCCATCTCTCCATCTTTATCAGTGTGTTCTTGTTTCTCCTTTTCGCATGATAAAGTACTTAATCCAGCTCCTCCTCTCCCTCTTTCTCCTCCTCCAGGATGCGATCCACGAATACGGCGTGTACTGGCTCTTCGGTGGCATCTGCGCCGTCAGCTTGGTCTTCTGTCTCCTGGTGGTGCCGGAGACGAAGGGAAAGACCCTGCAGGAGATCACGGCGATGTTTGGAGGTCCTACCACGTCCCCAACGCCCGCCAGATCTTCATCGTCTTCGTCAGCGTCCGAGAAACAGAGATGGTAGACCTGAAGGACATACTCGTCGCGGTTGGTTGAAGGATCGACTGGTCACGGATGGTTGGAGGATCTGCTCGGGATGGATCGTTGGAGGATCTTCGAGCCATGAATTACTCCAAGGATCGGGAAAGAGATCCTTGGGTTTCGAAGGCTATCGCTGAGACGTGAGATGGAAGGATCCTTGAGAAGCGGAAGGCATTGAGGTTTTCCCCCAAATGGACTCAAAAGGACCAAAGGCAGTCGATTGACTTTAAGATTTCTTTTCTTTTTTAATAGCAAATGAAATAATTTACGATACAAAAAGAAAGAAAGAAAGAAAAAAAACAACATAAAACAGTAGGCTGCCTTTGGTAAAGAGAAGAGCAGAATCCGCTCAGTGCATGACAACCATATCATGAATAACCCATGCTTTCCTGTTAAAGTCTGACTAGTACCAATACTAGCTCTCATTTTTTTAACAGAAACGATATATCCAAATGCAGCAGACCGATGCGTTATGTTTGAAATGACTCTAGGTAAATATTGCAATATAAGGAACTATGATATTATTTGCATATATCGCCATGTTCATTATGCATTTTATACTACTGGCACTTTAATCTTAAGCATTTGTTCTACCAAATACCACATCACTACATCCGTATTATATCTTGCCTTATTTATGTAACTACCCCCCCCCCTTTTTTTCTTTAATTGCCTACGTCCATGCTGACGTTTCACTAGTTTATTCACGAATATCTCGCCATTTTAGAAGTAGTATTTTGCAATTGTAAATATATGTTAAATAGGATAGCCGTTGTACTGAAAAGGTTAAGTTATATAATAATAAATATGTTGTTGACTTGAACATTTTGTTACCCACAAAGAGATATGTAAATAATTCGAAAAACGAATAATTAAAAAGAAATGTCATACTAAATATACATAAAACGGAATTTTGAACGAAATTACACCTAATATTAACAGGCACGTCGATACAGGGGCACACACACACACACACATACGCTTACGCAGCCATCTACCGGCAAATCTAACTGTTCCATCGTCACAGTACTCATTGTGCTTTTCGGAAGAGAAGATTGTTTGACAGTGATACTTCGTGTTTTCGAGTTCTGCCACAATATCCCGGTGAAAACGAACTCGTAATTAAACTGTTACAATTTCAGAGATGAAATTGATTTCTGTGAAGTACAATAATCGTGTTTCTAGCTACATGTATACCATGAAAATCAAAAAAGTTCGTCGCCTTCCCAGCCACAACACGCCCTTATCCTTCATGACAAGGTAAACCCAGTTTGCGTATTTATATGTATTCCTTATATTGACGGATGAAGCAGTCGGCTAGGAAAAATATGGCGATCAGAGAGGAGTTATGAAGGCTATTGTTTCATACGGCGAGCTTTGTGGCTATTCATGTGGTTATTGTGGGGTTCGTTCATTCGTTCGTGTGCGTAACGCCGATTCGAATCTTCCGTGACCGAATCCTAGCATGGTTCTTTCTTTTTCTTTTTAGGTTAAACTAGAAGACAAGGACAAAAATGGAAGAACAGTATGCAGACTAATCAAGACAGTAAAATTCAAACCGCGGGAAGACATAATTGCGTCACAATATTAAAATAAATGTTACGAAATTTGTCGTTCGGAGTCGGATTCAATGTAAACAAACCATGCAACTCAGAAGATGGCACTCAGGGAAGCGGCGTGTGTGCTACAATGTATCGTTTGATACATATTTAAAAGAAAGTGTTAAAATGACTAGTCACAAATCGGTCTCTGTGACAAACTCCTCTCGAGCTCTTGAATACGAGAAAGACTCCCATGGATAAGAATGAATACATTTTAGATTCGTTTCCAAAACATGTATTTATTAAATAACGTTCTTACAAATTGAGTTTTATTCAAATATAAACGACAGTCGCCGTCACACTTTTCACATTGTAGATTTTTCAGAATTTGTGCTCTTGGTACAGTGTAATTAATCCTTCAAAATCGTCACTATATTTGTTGTAAACATACACCATAATCATAATCGCACATATGACAAAAATAACGTTCTTTTCCTGTTGACCGAGGAGGCAAGAATGTGCCAGTCATTAAGAGTGGTAACCGAGAGTAGTTCAAGATATGCATCATGTAGGTAGTGATATATAAATGAATGTTTATGTTCCGATTGAATATTACAAATAAAAGGTTAATGTTACCGAGAGCGACGCACGGAAATAGAGCGAGATGGACACTCCCATCTTGTAGAGCATAAAAAATAGTGAGAATCAATACAGGTAAATCTGCAGCGGCCTCACATTTACCGGGGAGTGACAAAAATAGGCTCTGCATGAGTGATTTTTCGACTTAGCTTGGGGATAAGTATCGCGTGCTAGGATTTAGCCTCAGTGAGTGCGAGTGGACTCTGCCTCGGCGCCGTATCTGTCGCGACGTATTTTAATAAACCGATAATTGGGACAATATGTAGTATAAGGTAGTGGCAGAGTTGGGTAATAAAACCTATATGAAATGATAGAACAATACAAACCAAAACAAAGTTCTTCTATAGCAATATGTGTGCAAATGCTTCCCAAGGGTGCTAGGCATATATATTACCACGGGGGCCCCCTGGCTAGGGAATATATACCACGGTGTTAGGTTAGGTTGGATGTTGGGTTAGGGCGTTTTGTCTAGCAATCATGGGGGTACTGTTTTACCCCATAATTTCCCTGATATACTTCATGCCCTCCCCTGCTATAGGGACTGTCAAATCAAGATTGTCGATGGAGATGGTGATCATATCTCCTCAACGATTCATTTGCACAAGGAACAATGCCTAGAATCGTTGAAAACAGTGGATTTCATGCAGAAAAATATCAGAATTGTTTCGAAAGTAACCCACTACCCTCTTCTACATACAGACCCTCGTTTTAGTAA